TAAAGTGCTGTGGGTGACGGAATGTGTGTGTTAGAGGTTGGGTTAGTTTATCGTTGAATGAAATTTTCGTGGAAGTTGCTGTCGAGTGATGCATTAGACCAGTGTGTGCAGAGGGTGTTGGCTATTTCGTTATTGTCCAGAATGGCCGCAGAAACGGTTGATTTTGGATCATATTTCTTCGATTGGAGAATTTGGGTGGATTTCCGACGTGAAGTTTTCCATGGATTTTTTTTTTCTTGAGTTTAGCGTTGGTTTTTTTGTAAATTAGTATGTTTGTGGTGTCAACGTATCTGTTTAGATTTGTCCAAGCAATTTGTTTTTCATTTTGTAGTTTTTGGAGAGTTTGGTCCCACCATGGTACGTTCCTCTTTTTGTTAGAAGGGTGTGATTAGGGAATGGATTCGTTGGCAGATTGGATTATTATCTTGGTTATATTGGCGGTTTCTTTGTTTATATTAGCGCTGGGGGGTTTTCCAGCGGATAGTTTGTCTGCGATTTCCTAAAAGAGTGGCCAGTTTGCCTTTTTATACCCTTGCAGAGGGTATTATAATTTTGGTCAAAAGTGTGCAACGCAGTGAAGGAGACATCTCCAACCCTATAAAGTATATATATTTTTGATCAGGATCACCTCCTGAGTTGATATAAGCATGTCCGTCTGTCCGTCTGTCTGTCTGTCCGTCTGTCTGTCCGTCTGTCTGTTTCTACGCAAACTAGTCTCTCTGTTTTAAAGCTATTGACTTGAAACTTTGCACACACCCTTCTTTCCTTTACACGCAGTATATAATTTGGAACGGCCGGGATCGGCCGACTATATCCTATAGCTGCCAAATTTCATAAGGATCGGCAGACTATATCCTATAGCTAACGGAACGATCGGAAATGACCTAACCTTCGTGTTTTTGATAGAAAACTAGAAACTTAGTAGAGATTATATTTTTGTTCAGATAATCCGATCTACCAAATTTCATTAGGATCGGCCGACTATAACTTATAGCTGCCATATAACTGAACGATCGGAAATGATTGGTAAAAATATCAACTTTGTTATTTTTGAAGAAAGAAGTTTAGGACTTTTTTTAGATTTTGTATTATAATAAATTGGGTTATATTATCATATTCTCATAAGGATCGGCCAACTATATCCGAGGTTTGCGATATATATCCGGTTTTAACTGCAAGGGTATATCAACTTCGGTTCCACCCGAAGTTAGCTTTCCTTTCTTGTTTAGATTAAATCTTGGTTTTTCAGTGGGGTTGTTTACTCTATGTTCGTCAAACAGTTCGATATAGATTGGATTCGGTCACCTCCCCGCTGCCTGATAGGGAGGTGACCGAATACCATTTGGAGCTCAGATTAAGAGGTGGAGATGCAATTGAGAGATCTATGTGCGTGAATGTGTGTTGGGTGGTGAAGTGGGTGGCTGAGCCATTGTTTAGAGTTGTGGGCGAAAATTGATTTATGTATTCAAATAAGGTTTTTCCTTCTTTATTGTTAGTTGGTGAGCCCCTGCTTCTGTGCCAGCTTTTAAAGTTCCCAGTAATAAGTAGGGGAGGTCGTAAATTGTCGTATATGTTTCTTTGGTTTTGTATTGTGTAGTTTTTGTTGGGTGGTATGTATGAAGATACTATAGTGAATTTAGTTTTTGACTGAATTGATACTGCTATTGAGTCAAAGTAAAAGGAGTTAATTGGTTCATTTTGTTGTTGCAGTGAGTTGTGGATGAGGAGAGCGACACCCCCAAAACTGTTTGGGGTGTGTTTTCGTGATATAGCGTATAGTTAATCGGTATAGTTATGTTTTGAGTGAAGTGTAGGTGTGTTTCTTGAATAAATATAATCTTGGGACTGTGTTTTTTTATGAGGATTTGTAGTTGGCTGTAATTGTTTATGTATCCGTCCATGTTCCACTAAATTATTTTGAGCATGGTGATTTTTGAATAAGGAGTGGAGTGAAATTTAGGTATAGTTCTTAGTCTTCATCGTTGCTGGTGTTATTTGTATTGTCGGGCTTAGTCTTGGTGTTGAGTTTCTCTTTGGATTTTAAGGGTGTACCTATTTTATTTGATTTAACTAAGAATATTTTAAGTTTTGGGTCATCGGAGAGTTCAGATCGCGTTGTGTATTTTGATGAGGTCGTGTCCATTGGTTCCTCGAGTAGGTCGTCGTAGGTGGTCCATTGTCTCATAGACGTTGATTAAGATGTTGAAGTTGATGGATGCGGTGTAGATGATGTTAATGAATGTGGTGTAGGAATAGATGTAACATTGCTGCGGATGTTGATGGTGTACTGGATTCGTGCTGTCTTGTGGTCTACTTTTTCAGGCAGTGATTTCTTTTTTTTTTATAAAGGAGGGGCAGGATTTATCCATTGCATTCGTACTTGGATGTATGGATGTACGTGGATGTACTTGTACGCTCTCGTAGCCTATCCATAATCTTTTTGGTAAGGTTAGTGTGCCGAACGTGAGTATAATTATACCTGTTTGTGCCTTGTTGTTGTCGTCTGAGTTTGTTTTTTTTTTAGGATTTTGCGGACAGCAACTACTTTTGAAATTTAAGTTCTTCTAAAATTTCGTTTTCGTCTAATTACCGCAAATCGTTGGGGTAGATGACTCCTTTGGAAATGTTTAAAGATCAATGTTCTTCCGCACGAACTGGAAAGTTTCTATTTTAATTAGTTTCTGGGCTTGAAAAGAATTTTTGGTTTTCACCAGTAGGGCTCCAGATTTAGTTTTGTGGCAAACTTCGACTGCACCATTGCATTTAAAGTCAACCACTTTTTTGATTAGGAATGGGTTAATTTTTTCGAAGGTGTTATTGTCTTTTCTGGTGATAATTATATATTTGGGTTCACTTGTGGACGTTGGCGGCGGTCGGTCGGGTTGTAGTGACACTGTGGTGTCTCAGGGGCTCGGGCCCTAACGGAATTTGTTTGTAGCTAATATTCTTAGTGTTTGTTGTAAGTTTTGCTCGGGTGATAGTTAGTCGCGAAATAGTGTTCGCGAACCGAGTTAGTAAAGTAGATAAGCAGTGGCCTGGGGTTTTAAATAGTCGCACGTCTTTACTGGTCGGAGTTCAGGGTGAAACTGACAAAATAATTATTTTGACCGAATTACACAATTTATCTGACTTAAATAATTACAGCAGTACAAAAATAATGAAACTATTGAAATAACGGTGTTTTTAAGCATACCAGTCTTGGGGCGGTCTTGGGCACTAAAGGGTTATGAGCATTTTTATTTAGACGTTCTGGAGAATTAACGCAATCAAAAGCATCAATAGGATGAAAAAATCTTCATTCAATGGACACAAAATTAACGCTGTAGGTCAATCAATAGCATCATTAGGATAAAACAAGAAAGAAAAGCTAACTTCGGGCGGAGCCGAAGTTGATATACCCTTGCAGTTAAAACCGGATATATATTGCAAACCGATTCTTATGATTAAATCATAATAAAACCAATAAACTACAATAAACAAGAAAGGAAAGCTAACTTCGGGCGGACCCGAAGTTTATATACCCTTGCAGTTTAAACCGGATATATGTCGCAAACATCGGATATAGTTGGCCGATCCTTTGGGAATATGAATATATAATCTAATTTATTACAATACAGAATCTAAAAAAAGTCTCAAGCTTCTATCTTCAAAAGTACCAAAGTTGGTATTTCTACCAAAAACCATTTCCGATCGTTCAGTTATATGGCATCTATAAGATATAGTCGGCCGATCGTTATGAAATTTGGTAGGTCGGATTAACTGACCAAGAATATAATCTGTACCAAGTTCCAGCTTTCTATCTTCAAAAACACGAAAGTTGGGTCATTTCCGATCGTTCAGTTATATGAAAGCTATAGGATATAGTCGGCCGATCCTTACGAAATTTGGCATGTCGTATTATTTTGCCAATAGCGCTCGTGTAAAATTTAAACTCTCTAACTCTAAAAACACCGAAGTTATACCATTTCCGATCAATCAGTTATATGGCAGCTATAGGATATAGTCGGCCGATCCGGGCCGTTCCGACTTATATACTGCGTGCAAAAGAAAGAAGGGTGTGTGCAAAGTTTCAAGTCGCTAGCTTTAAAACTGAGAGACTAGTTCGCGTAGAAACAGACAGACAGACGGACAGACGGACATGCTCATATCAACTCAGGAGGTGATCCTGATCAAGAATATATATACTTTACAGGGTCGGAGATGTCTCCTTCACTGCGTTGCACACTTTTGACCAAAATTATAATACCCTCTGCAAGGGTATAAAAATCTAAAAAAAAAGTCCCAAACTTCTATCTTCAAAAGTACCAAAGTTGGTATTTCTACCAAAAAAAAATTTCCGATCGTTCATTTTATGGCAGCTATAGGATATAGTCGGCCGATTCTAATGAAATTTGGCAGGTTGGATTAGCTGACCAAAAATAGAATATGTACTAAGTTTCAGCTATCTTCAAAAACACGAAAGTTGGGTCATTTCCGATCGTTCAGTTATATGCCAGCTATAAGATATAGTCGGCCGATCCTTATAAAATTGCATGGCATGTCGTAATGTTTTGCCAGAGATAGCTCTCGGTTCAAATTTGAACTCTCTAACTTTAAAAACACCAAAGTTATACCATTTCCGATCAATCAGTTATATGGCAGCTATAGGATATAGTCGGCCGATCCGGGCCGTTCCGACTTATATACTGCGTGCAAAAGAAAGAAGGGTGTGTGCAAAGTTTCAAGTCGCTAGCTTTTAAACTGAGAGACTAGTTCGCGTAGAAACGGACAGACAGACAGACAGACAGACAGACGGACAGACAGACGGACAGAGGGACATGCTCATATCAACTCAGGAGGTGATCCTGATCAAGAATATATATACTTTATAGGGTCGGAGATGTCTCCTTCACTGCGTTGCACACTTTTGGACAAAATTATAATACCCTCTGCAAGGGTATAAAAATCGTAGTATAATCTTATTTCACCAACAATCAAAATAAATGAAAATTGTAACTTACCCGAATGTTACACGATCATAAAACTCAAATGCTGTTAGAAGGTATCTTAATCTTATTTGACTACGAGGTTCAAAAATTAAAGCGCGTACTTTATTATCCATCCATCCACTCAGAAACGCATTTATATTTTTACTTTCAATACGGTGTAAAATATTAAATGGCATTTTTTTCCTTATGAACTCTGAAAGAAAGTTGAATAACAGGTTTTAAATTTTTTGTTCACCAACACTACTGTTCAAGCATTGAACACTATTTTATATACAAATTCTTAAAATAGAGTTTCAAGGGATCGGGCCCATGAAATAAGAGACAAACAGCGTGGTCTAAAACCGATCCCCTGCAGCCTAACACAAACACATACATAAGTGGTGCGCTTATCGCACTTGAGAAAGGGTCGCATAGCATGTCAGCGTGCAGTGCGTTGATAAGTAGTTTTAAATAGGTTTAAGATTTTAGTGTATCCTACTTATAAGAGAATTGTACAGAATAAAATCCGTAACTGATTTATTCGAAATCCCATAACTTCGATTTTTGTAGACTTCTATAGTGGGATTTTCTATTTTTGGCAAAATGGTTGACCTACCCAATTTTATAAGGATCGACCAACTATATCTTAGAGCTGCCATGGTATCGGAAATAGAAGACAGAAGCCTGAAACTTGTGTTTATTAAAATCAAGAAATTGGTCTTATAACGAAGTTCTCAGAAAGATCGGCCAACTAATGGCGATATTCGCATTGTGACGAGATTAAATATACGCCAAGACAGGTGGCCGCGTCGGGCGAAGCCGGGGAAGGGGAGTTGAGGGGGTACTAGAGCGGTCAAGCAGATGTGTGTGGCGTCATACTGGAAAGCAGGACTAACGGCAGGAGCATATTAAAGGAGGATTAACGGGTATGCGCGGTGACTCCCAGGTTTGAAGGGGGCGCAACGCCTAGTCTCTGGCCCGTCACGCATTCGGCAGCGCGTATGGGCGCAGGTGTGTGGTAATTAGTGGCGAACGCCAGCCTTGTTTGTGTCCCTGAGATCAGTAAGCCGAGTAAGTGGCAACAGAGCAGCTGCGGAGACGTGCAGAGCACCAACGGAAGAGGCAGGCGAAGCGGAAACCACAGAAGCAGCGTGTGAGTCCAAGCAAACTGAACCGGCACCAGGCGTACGCCTTGGAGATATGGCGACCAACCAACGGTAGCAGCGATGGTCGAAAAGAGCGAGAACACAGGTGAGCAGCGAGAATCCAAAGCAGATTGTAAAAACCAAGGACTTAGAAAAAAGGATTTTTTCTGGGCTCAGAAAATCACTTCGAATTATAAATTTGGTGGAAAGTTACCGCAAACTCTGTGAGCTAGACGCGGCATTTACTGCGAGCAAAAAACGCACTAAACTTCGCTTTCGCAAATGACCATCCCGATAAAAAACTCCTCGGAATGCTCCTCCAGCGACGGAGGCACAGCTAAAACATGCGATACACCGTTTTAAAGAGTTTTCCAGCCAAATCTTGTCGTAATCTATTTTATAATACACTAATGGCTGAAAGAAAAAAGAGGCTTCCGGTGCACAGTGGTTGCGCTCGTAGGCCATAAATCGTAAAATCGACTTATAAATAAATAGTCAAAATGTAAGGAATTTGTCTCTAAATGGTTCACATTTTGTCATTGCAAGCTAGTTATTTCCGGAAATCTAATGGGATTTTCTAAAAATAGAATGCAGCTGTGTTTAGTGAGCGTTTCGTCAAAACAAAAGTGAAGTTCAAAGTGGTCAGACGTTCGCAAAAATTCACCAAATTTTATTATTTAAAAGGCATGCTAAAGTTGAAGGTATAAAGTTTAATGAATTGGTTTTATGAAATTTATCTGACTAATTAAATTTTATTTGTGTATTTCAGATCGATTAAACCTTTTTTGTGTATTTTGTGAACGTAGTTTTCATGATTAGTTAAAGTTTTATTTGTGATCTTACGAAATCCCACAGCTGCAGAAATTTGGAGTTGTTTATATAATCGGAAAAATACTGATGCCATCTAGCGTTTGCCAAAGTAAAGTTTTTCCTTATTGTACTTTTATTTTGCCTCGCCCTTCGTGTTTGTATTGTTTTTGAAAAATTTTTAACAATTTTTTTTCTGAAATTAACTTTCTAGGAGATTTCCATAAATGTGTATTCGTCTATATATTTTTAATCTTTGGTGTGCAGAAGGTGGCACCAACGCTGGAAGAAAAAAACAAATTGAAAACAACGGTTACATTCCCGAGCTAAGACAACTACCAAAACGTATTGGTTTCATATGCAAAAGAATTGCTACTTTTTGGGACAGTTACAAACTAAACAAAAAAGAAGAAAACTGCAAATATGCAATATCAATCAAGTTGGCTGAATGAAATAGAAACAATTTGTGTTGACCTGTGCTCATGAGATGTCTCAACCAACACAAGAATGTGCCAATCTTGGACGGCCGAAAATCGACTTTTTAGATTGTTAGAATAGAGAAAAACGTCGAAGGATTGCTGAAATAGCAAAAATGGATCAATCTGCTGCTTCCTTGCTTCGATCGTGCAGCTTGTCTTTAGGCCCAAAACATTGTCAAGCCGATATTGACGAAGTTTTATCACTTTTTGTGGAGACGAATTTAACAAAACATCAATATTTGCTTACTTGTAAGTTTATTAATACGTTTGTATCATTTGATATATTGCCGAGTTACGAGCCGGTTTTGAAAGCAATAAAAAAACAGTTACAGAAGAAACCAGCGTTACTGAAGCAAAAGCTAAAGTTCAATTGCAAAGTTTGTTTAACCATACTGCTTCATGTATTTTAAAACTTCAACATAAAGTTATTGGGAACATTAAGGATGATTCCGGTAAAAACTTAGTTTCGATAGGAAAATAGGTATTCGATGGTAGCACCGGAGAGTGTGAATATAAAATGAATGCGCTTTACAATAATTTGGACGACTCTACTCTCTTTGTTACCTCATACGTACCATTGCAGCTGATTACAAATTCTAGTGATCCTAGTGGTCTAGTGGTCAAAAAATAATTTGGAAAAATCTTCTTCTTCAGCTTCTGCAGACCAATGGGTTTCCAATTTGAAAAGGAAACAGCTCAATTAGCTTTAAACGAAGACAGGCATTATAAGGAGCAAATTAATAATCTTAACCCGACTGTATGCGATATCGTCAATAAAAAAATCGAGGTTAAGCACAGCTTGCAATTGACCATGGTAGATGGAAAAATATGTTATGCCCTCAACAATACGTCTGCAGTCAAATGTTACATTTGTAAAGCAAGGCCAATGGAAATGAACGACTTAGAAAAGTGTTTGGAGAAGAGAAACTGCTTCAAGTTTTGATTATCACCGTTGCACTCAATATAAGATTTTTTGAATATTTTTTGAACGTTGCCTACAGATTAGATAAAAAAATGTGACAAATTTATACCGATGAGGAAAAAATGCATTTTCTTTAAGAAAAAAAAAAGAACTCAAGAAGACTTCAGACTCCAAGTCATGGCATCAGGGTACAGGATTAATGCTGACAAAATCAGAATATATGCTCTTGACACTGCCAAACAATTGTTATGTTTGTATGATTGATACTACCTATTTGCTCTTTTTTCAATTGAACAATTATCGGAAAAAGCTGCAGAGTTCGCGGAACAAAGACATAAAACTATATAGAAAGCATAACACATGAAAAATATCTCGAATTGCCACAAAAACGGATTTATTTAATAGACTATTTTATTTGTTATGGCTCCTAATTTGTTTACAAAAGTGTCTTATTATTAAAGTAGTTGAATTTTACTTGAAACTGGTACTTATTTGTGTTTAAAATTTTTTCTATGGCAGCTGTATACTATAGTTATCCGATTTGAACTGGTACTTATTTGTGTTTAAAATTTTTTCTATGGCAGCTGTATACTATAGTTATCCGATTTGAACTATAATTGGCACGCATATACAAAACTGGTCCAAGCATACAATCTGTAACTTTGGTTTGCATATCTTGAAAAACAAAAAAGTTTTTTATACTATAACCTTATTACTATCATATTGTTCCTATGGCTGCTATACTTGTATGACATAAACGTACGATATGGCCAATTTTTATACCCTTCAGAGGGTATTATAATTTTGGTCAAAAGTGTGCAACGCAGTGAAGTATACATTTCCAACCCTATAAAGAATATATATTCTTGATCAGGATCACCTCCTGAGTTGATAAAGGCATGTCCGTCTGTCTGTCTGTTTCTACGCAAACTAGTCTCTCAGTTTTAAAGCTACCGACTTGAAACTTTGCACACACCCTTCTTTCCTTTGCACGCAGTATATAAGTCGGATCGGCCGACTATATCCTACAGCTGTCATATAACTGATTGAGCGGAAATGGTATAACTTTGGTGTATTTAGAGTTAGAGAGTTCAAATATTACTATTTAAGCTATTTTTGGCAACATAATACGACATGCCAAATTCCATAAGGATCGGTCGTCTATATCTTATAGCTGCCATATAACTGAACGATCGGAAATAACCCAACTTTCGTGTTTTTGAAGATAGAAAGATGGAACTTAGTACAGATTATATTTTTGGTCAGGTAATCCGACCTACCAAATTTCATAACGATCGGCCGACTATATCTTAGAGATGCCATATAACTGAACGATCGAAAATGTTTTTTGGTAGACTATGCCTCGCGACTACTAATGGATACATTTTTTTTTCTTCGCGATCTTTTAGAATTTTGGAAATGGCCACAGCAGCACAGTGGTTTAATGTTAATCTTTAAGTAATGTTTCGTAATGTTTATTTATTTAGGCTTAAGTTTGTATAAAGCGCTTAGTTGGTCGCAAGCCGACTCTCTCTCGGCCGTTCCACTCAACGAGCCTTTCTTTTGAGAGTTTCAGCTCCGCAATGTCTAGGTCGGGACGCCCTCTCCATTATAGAGAGCTATAACTTCGCGTATAACTAGTCAGGCCGCCCTCTCTGTACATAACATTGAGTCGCTGCATGCACCATAAGCTGGTCTATCTGCTGATCATCCGGCTTCATCTGCATTGCATAAAATTAACGATTTATTAGCAATTTGCTATTTATTGAAATAAGAGGAATAGGTAAGGAAATTTAAAATACTTGTTTTCAAATTTGAGGGACAGCAAAGGGAGATGATAGGGTAGAGACCATTTTACCAT